TGGCCCCATTTTTGTTTCCTGCATGATGCTTCATTAACCTATCCAGGATTTTTGTTTTGTTTTTGTTATCAGATAGTATGTACAGTATAATCACTCACCTGGATTATTCTAACGAGTCTCCTCGTTTCTGTGATTTCCTTCAAGAAATGTCAACACTGTAGACAGACAGGTCTTTGAAAATCATGTATTTGGTGGTAGGTATGTTGTGCAGTGGCTGAGCAGTCTTTATTCTGAGTCCTGGCTGTGTCTGAGTCCTGGCTGTGTTTGTGATTCCCGCTACATCCTGGGATGGTAATGGATCAAGAACTTGGATCCTGGCTACTCACACTGGGGACCATGTCTCCCGTGATGGCCCAGATCCTGCCATTGTAAGTATTTGGAGTGGGTGAGCAGATTGAAGATCTCCTCTCTCTCTTTCTGTATTTCAAATAAGTAAAATAAAATTAGTGAAAAGGTATATCTGGGCAGAACATTGCTTGCCTTACCTTCCCAGAGACTCCCCATCACACTCAGAGCAAGTGGTCTGCAAGGCAAAACTTAACCTCATCCTTACTTGCCTCCATGAGCTCATCTCCTACAGCTTTCCTTCTTTTATTCTTTCTGGATGCACAAGTCTCCTATCCTTTCTTGCACACCTCTCTGCCTGAAATGTTCTGGGCCCAGAAAGCCAGATGAATAGCATTGAGACAGGGATATGGTATTAAAAGCAAATAAGAAAAAAATGATTTTAGAATTACAATTCTGGGGACAGATAAAAATACTCTAGAAAGAGGGAAAGGTAAAAGTATAGCAATTCTAATGGTATATTTCAACAACTTAATATGCAGGCTTTTTAGCCCCTGCATACATGTGTTATTCTAAGCACCTAGTCATTGCTGTTCCTTGGCATCATTAAGGCGTACACTTGAGAGCAGACTCTGTAGTAAGCATGAAAGATGGAAACTAGGAACTAAAACGAATGTTTTACAGTAGGTATTTGGTGCAGTGGCCATGATGTCACACTCATATCTGGCATAGCTTCAAATATCAGCTCTGTTTAATCTCTTGCTAACATGCATGGTGGTAGGGTTGGTTGATCCCTGCCTAATTCAGGCCTGAGTCAGATCTGGATGTCATAGGCATTTGGGAGAGAAAATCAACAGTGGGAAGATCCGTGTCTGTCTCTTTGCCCTTCAAATAAATACAACCTTTAAAAAAAAAAGAAATGTATTTTAATTCTAGGAAAATAAGAGTTATTTCCTCTACTATGGGATGAAAATAATAACTAGATCTGGTGACTTCTAGTTATTCCTTACAGTCTTAAACCTTCTTTCAATTTTATTTTTATGATTCAGAAAAGATAATAGATTCATATCAATAATTTTATTGATATAAACACAACTCTTCGACAATTGCAAACTGACTTGGAATAACCAACAGAATACCAAATAAAGAACCAGTACCTATTGAACCCAAATGCTTTTATACTGAAATTTGAAGGAAAGTGTGTTTTGAACATCACCAAATGTGATTATTTGACTTTAAAAATGCGTATAAGACAGACAGCAGAAGAAAACTAAGCTTGACTTAGTACAGTTTGAGCATCAAGCGTGTAATAATTCTAAATAATAAAATGGAATACAGTGCAGACAAGTGAACAATAAATTATTTCTTTTTAAAAAGATTATTTGTTGGATAATAGATTCATCTTTTTTAATGTTTGTACAAATTATATAAATAATCTGGAATTGAAAGACAGATTTAATTGCATGGCCACTAGCAACCCATCATGGATTAATGTGTTCTAGTGTAACATGAAATATGTCCTAAAGATACCAAAGATAGCACCAAAGAGTGGAATTTTTTAAATAGGCATAGAGGTATGTGGCAAGTATTTTTGAAAATTTGTTTTAAGTGTCTTTCCAATATAGACATAGGCTTTTTTTTTTTGCAGTGTTTTATAACACTTTTCATCTCCTAATAAAGTCAGATGGTGCCATGTATATTATATCTTGGAGGTGAAACACATTTTGGTATAAAAATAGAAATAAATTTTATAGCTACCTAAAAATTCACTCAATATAAAATGTAATCTTTAAGGATACATGATTTGAAAAACTGTCAAAATATTACATTGGATGGAAATTATGATGTAAATATCTCTAAATAGAAATGTGGAACAGATATATAGATGAAGGCATATAAATAACCTCCAAATACTTTTTCATATCAACTTTCTAGTGCAAAACAAGAATATCAAACAATAAGGTAAATACTGTGTAGCAGACAGAATTCAATGTCAAAATTTGCTTGAGATGATGTTGTGGTTGTTATAAATGGTAAAGTATAATACATTAATTTTTATCCCTAGGAGTAGCACTTTAGAAAACAGTTGTTAAGATACTAGGCTTGATCTTCAAGTCATGTATATAAAATATTCAGTTACTGTCTCTTCTTTCTCCCTCTTATGATAGAAGGTTTCTATGAATTGGGCTAGCAACACCGATCTGAATTATGTTTATTCTCTTATAAACTGATTTCCATTCATTGGAATGGTATGCATGAGTTAGACTAAAGCATCTAAAGACAAGAATGAAATTTGATTCAAAGGCTTTTCATTGAAAAACATCATGCCTTTAAATGCATGTTTGCTGTTTTTAAAAAGGTTATTGTAAAATTTTAAATTAAACACAGTATCAGGGTGAAATCTTAAAAAAAGAAAAAAATATTTGAAATTATCTTTCTGGAAGAATAGATGACCAATACTGCCTATTTTTTTCTCTTCTCGGGACTTTTGTATCACTGTTGGATCTTAGGATCAACAGCTCTTGTGCTGGCCACTCTGTCTTTTATTAAAAAGCCAAAGAAGTATCTCTACAAGGTATCAGTTATTTTAAAAAAAAATTGTGATGATATGTCATATCAAACAAGAAATAAGCTTGCAATAGATGGATACCATTATATTTATATTAATCATTTAGTAATTATTTCTATGGCTTTGAAACTCCAGGATCCAGGCATACTCAAGTATATTTGAGCAAATATTTTTAAACTTTATTTCTGGAAAAATTGCCATTCCTACATTAGTAACCCCCTCAATAACAGCAAGAGATAAAAGAGACTCCCTTTGAATGACTTTATTCACACCTCTGCAATTTGACATAATACAGACTGTCAAAATTGTACAAATTCTACAGAGTTAAAATAAGATATGTATTGTGGCTTTCAAAATATAAACCTTATCTGCTATTATATAGAGCAAAATAGCTCTGAATAAAAATAATTCCTTCTTAGCTGTTTTTGACAATTATTGGACATTGAATATTCTTTGATCTTTTAATTCTCTGGAAAGTTGGAGTATTCAGGAAAAACTTTCTAAGTGCATATAATTCATAGCTCCAGGGCAAAACTTTTTTCCTAATTTTGTTTTGTCATATCACTTTAGTAAGTTTATGTTCACACTGAACTTAAAAAAGAAAAGCGAACTCCTCCAATAGCAAACTTGCATATGTCTTAGAATGCTTTGATTCCTTCATAGAGAGTTGAAATCAGGCAACACTATACAGGAAATGCTGAAATAATATATCATCAATAGGACAGTACTAGATTTTGAAGCTAGATAAATTTTGGAGGTTATAATTCAGAACTTATGGAAACCAGGAAATACCTTTGATGAATCAAATCGGAAATTTAAGATTTATACTAGAGGGGTGGGGTGGTTTAGAGTAAAAAAGTGAATTTGTCTAGTATGTACTGTTGCATTCTTGTCAACACAATACTATCAACTCTGAAAGGTTTTCTACTGAGCTCTTTTAGCAGAGGGTTGTTACAACAAGTTCTAAATTTTATTAAAACTCTAAGCATGGTATTATTTTATCAAACAATTCTTTTCTTTTCCCCATTAAATGGTTTGCATATCCTAAAAACATTTTTTAGATCCCTTAAAAAAATCCCCCGAAGATTAACCACATTGCAAGCTTTTTCTTTTTCACAACTCAGCTTAAGCAAATCGTTTTAATGTAGGAGTGATGTGATAGAACACTGCATGTGAATGGGTAATGTGTACTAAAAACAAAATTTGAAAAATACGATGGAGTTCCCACATGCTGACATGGTTATCAGCTTGCCATTCGTGCTGATAACCATGTCAGCGATCACTTGCGTCTGTCTAGGAAATAAATATGCAAGTTATTCCTTTTAAAGGCAGACCTATTGGTCAAGGGAAAGATGGGTATGATATCCCACAACCTCACCAGTAAGCAGTATTCCTCAAGAACCCATCTACTGTTAAACACAAACTAACACATAGGAAAGGAGCTTCATGTTAAGATTCAGGCTCAGACACTGTGGGTTTACCAGAAACAAATCTCACCCTGTTGCCACTGTACTGGAATTTCACTGCTTGGAAATGTTTTCCAATGTAAAACTCATATTGTCTTACACAATTATTAAGGTAAAAGTACTTGGTGGCTTATGGCTTGACTATGTCATCAATTTTTGTTTGTTTAAATGGTTATTCCTGGCCTGAATCTGTGGTTGAATTTCCACGAATATTACCTTTGTGAGACTGATTGTTGAGTATTTCAGATTTGTCCCACAAGCATGGGCATGTATTGCATTTTCAGTTCTCTTTGAGTATTGCTAGGCTATGTGGCAAATCCTAGAAGAGTGAACAGCTTGCCAGTAGTCACGGCCAGTGCTTTCAGAAGACCATGTTTTATTTACTCCACATGTGGAGATCTACTACAGGCCATATGAAAGCAAAGAAGACACTGCAGGCCCCAGAGACAAAGAAGGCCGGCTGCAAGTTTCTGTTCACTGTCATGATTTCCTTAGGACTCATAGAAGAAGGAGGGTTTCAAATGCTAAGGAGAGTGCTTCCCTTATGGCAACATGTCCATTTATCTTTCTAATTACCTCCCCAATTATGTTAGCACCTAATTGTGCACCAAAATTGTTAGTTTTCTGATGATGAAAATTTCTAAATCACAAATATTATGAAAAATATGCTGTGATCCTGACTACTTTGTGTATTGTACTGTACTGTACTTGGTTATTCGACTTCGAGTTGTGCTAGGGGAGGCAGATCCATGGGTCTGGCTAAAGTGATGGTCAGAAGAACTCCTCATGTGACCAATGGTGGCAGATCCCCCCATGCTGCTGCTCAGGCCCCCACTCCCACCAATACTGCTCAGCCCTATACCACCACCATTTATCCCAACTCCACCCATGGTCCCACCACCAGCTGCCATTGTGGAGGCAACAAAGCCACTGCTGCCTATGCCACCACCTCCACTCATCCCAGTGGTGCCACTAATTCCACTTAGACCTGCCCCGGAAACAACTCTCTCTGTCACAATCACATTGTGAGTATTTGCTAACTCAGGATGCATGCTTAGGCTCCCCATCATGCCAGAAGTAGGCTGGATGACTCTTTCTGTCACTACCACATTTGAAGATTCTCTAGGATTAGAGATAGTCAGAGAGGTGGGGAGGCTTGACCCTGGTGCTATAACCCTTTCTGTCACTATAACGTTTGACCCCTCTCTCAAGTCAGGCATCTCTAACATTCCATGCAAATCAGCGCCAGAGATTGGGCCGACCACTCTCTCGGTTACCACCACGTTTGATGCATGTCGGTTATCGTGAAGGTGCACAGAGGGTTTCAGAGTGCCAGAGGAAGTGTAGGACTCGGTTACAGTGACATTCCCGTAGCCTAAAGGATCAGAAATGGGCATCGGATGCTGTACACCAGGTCCTGAGGGATAGGTACTCTCAGAGATGACTGTGGTAGTGCCGAAATGCGGGGAGATTGGTGGATGGCCATTGACCACGGGCTCTGTCCCCTGCTGCGGGAACATCGGTTCTGTGCTCTGCGGTGGCCAAGAAGGATCAGGGTCTGGGTAGGATTCCGTTTCTCTTCCCAGGCTGATGTCGGCCAACTTCTTAAATTTAGGCCCCAGTGTATCCAAGAAGCTGTCATCCAAGTCTTCTCCAATAAAGCTACAGCAACCCACGGAGCCAGCGGGGGAACCTACACCTTCAATGTCATAGATGAGCAAACAATCATTGGATGGCCGTCCCTCATCTTCATCTGCGTAGGCATATGCTTTCTGAATGTGTGGAAGAAAAAGAAGTGAAATTATGGCTACACAGTCTGTGCCATTATTATTTCTTCATAGCATGTTACCAACGAGAAAAATCTAAAACAAAATTGTAGTATTTACCACAGAGGCTTTGAAAATAATTTTATAATTGCTTAAACTTTGTTTTATTTTAAAATTATTTTTAAATAATCTTTAATTGCTTAAACTTTGGCTTGAGATTGTTTGATAATGGTTTGAGTTTTGCTAAAAATGATTTTATCTACAATAAAAGTTTTGATTAAAAATGTTTTTACATGGACTTGTTTATAATTATGCTTCTTGAACACAAAGTTTCTCTCTCTCCCTCTCTCTCACACACACACACACACACATACACACATTACATGAGTTCTCTTATAACCAAGTTAGAAGGAAGCACATAAAATTATGAACTTTAAGTACGTGGAAGAGTGTACTTTTTCAATTACAAAAAATCCATCATTGATTGGATGCAATCAAAATTGTACTTTGTTTTCTTCAAAGTATGACTAACATTATGGTTTATGATAAATTTATTTCAATGTGATTTTCTTCAGCACAAGAAAATTTGAGTCTGCAAATATTGGATTTAAAATTGAAGACCAGAGATAATTTTTAGAAATAGCATCTTGTTCAACCCAAAGTTCACATACTTTGAATTTTATTTCATCTTTGCAATTCACAGTAGTGGATTGCAACTTGTCATCAGATTGTTTGTAGCAAAACAAGAAATTATGTCCCTTTACTTAAAGACGTTCAGTAACTCCTCAGTATTTGCCAAATATTCCATTAGGAACTTGACTATGGAGTAGTGGACAATATCTTATAGGACTTACATTTCAGTCATTTGAGAAAGGCAATGTGCATATTTGTCAGGGGTGGTGTCAGGGCAGAGAATAGAAAGTACTGGAGTGTTCTTTTAAATAGGGATGTGAAGGATAGTATCTTTGATAAGCAAATGTTTGACTAGAAATTGGAAAAAAAGATGTTAGAGGACTAAAGTGGATAGTGTACTGGGAAGAGGAAACTCTAAGTACAAACCTCCTGAGGCAGAATTTTAGCTTCCATGAGAATATTATTCACTTGCAAGGAAAGAGAAAGTATTCCAAAGAGTTTCAACAAACTTCATGAACAGTTATTGCTACTTAGAAGGATTTTACTAATATTTTAGTTAGAATATTAATTGCTTTCCAAGTCATTAGAGTGGTTGATGAAGACATTTTAAGCCAGAATATAGAAGGATAGAAATTGAAGTCAAATCAGTATCAGAGAGAGGAACTTTCTGAAGACTGGGTATTGCAGCAGGTGAAACCATGGGTACTTGTGTCTCTGCCTGGGAAACCTAATTCTTTTTTTTGTTACTTTTTCCAGTGGTCACACTATTTCTATTGCTTTCAGTTGGTTCTTGGAAAATTCTAGAAGTATACCATATTTTAAGCCTACTCTTATATACATATCTGAAGCTGAGCTTGGTGCTGGCAACATAATGTAGAGAACAGATGGATGAAATATCAGACATGGTAGTGTATATTGAAAAATAATCAGCTTTGTGCATGACAGTTTCATGAAATGTATGAACAAAAATCCTACAAAACTGTAGATGAGAAAATAGTAGTCTGGTTTGGGTGAACGGTTAACTGTAAAAACTTCAGGGTGACACTGATATTTGAAATGGATTTTGAAAGATGGGTAGGAGTTTTGTATTAGATGATGACAACAAACCATCCCAAAGGTGTGGAGGAAGGATTGACTTTGAAAAAAGCAGAGGTGCTTGCCAGTGGGTCGATGGTAAGCAGGCATGGGAGAGGGGCTTGATTTGTAAATAATCTTACTTGTTGTGTTGAAGAGTTTAGACTTGACAGCACAGATAAAATAAGAGCAGAAAACTATTTCCTATTTTAAATGTGGAAATAACAGTGTTGAGATTATGGCTTTACAAATATTGCTAGGGAATAATATGAAATGCTGGACCTGGAGACAAGAGGATGAGGACCTGCCTCCCGTCATGTTTAATTTTCCTGTTGGGACATCAGTGAGAGCTTCGAGTATGAGGATGCCAAGGTGTGTAGCAGAGGGTCTTACCTGACAAAAGTAACTTTCCATAAAGTTCATATTCAGACCTCCTTCTCGGCATTCCCTCACGGGCCCTCTTAATGTTCCAGGATATTCTTGACTTATGTCAGCTGCTCCTGATGATCTAACTCCATCAATGGGTTCCCATCCTGCTGTTCTTTCTCCTCCTCCCAGATCATGCATTTCCCTGCCACCGATGTCATTTGTATAAACCCCTAAAATTGATCAAATTAAATTGAATTATTATGTTCCCGGAATTGAAAATTAGCAACTTGTAATATACATCTTTTCATTTAAATATGCATTTGTGAACAAAGAAACTGAAGGGAATAGTTTTATCATTATAAATAAAGTTTTTGATATTGCCTATATCTACAATGCCATGATACACTTAAATAGCAGAATTTTGTCCCAGTGACTGTTGTTGAAAGACTATGCTATTGTGATAATAAGGAGGGAAACTGAAGAGGGGGAATGAAGAGGAAGGAAGGAAAGTTGGAAGGGGGGATTTCTATATATTCGAACCATATTATAGAAAATAATAATAAAAAATTTAAAAAGAACCATTTTAATGATTGAACCAATCATAAAGGGTCAAGCCTCACTAAATGAGCATGAATCGATTTTAATCAGATTGTGCATTAATTTTAATTGTCTATGTGTATTTGGCAGATGACAAGTTATGTTTACTCTATGGGATAAAAAAATCTTGATCCAAATTGGACTCCTGATTACAGTTCAGTACTTACATTTATAGAGATATTAAGTCATCTTCTAAATACTCTCTGATGGTTGAGGAAAATTTAGAATGAATACAGCACATAAAGAAACAATTATGGGCTTTCTCATTAAATTTAAAAATTAATAATTAAAAAAAAAGAAATGTTATAAACTCTGAAAAGCAAAAAAAGATCATGAGTAAGCAGGTATGCAAAGGGAGGAACAGAATTCCCTCTTAGTCATTTGAGCTGTTAATATATTTTTCCTTACCTGAATTGTCAATGCATTCTATTATATTTGCATTATCGGGTGGTATTTGTGGTACACAGATAGTGCCCAAGTCCTAAAAAATAAGCAACATATATTACATATATATATTCATATAGTCAACATTATATATAGTCATATATAATCATATTATGTATATATATATAATAGTCATACATTTACTTTATGCTCAAATTACTGACCATTTGCTTAAAAAATATCCTTGAGTAAATGCTTGAGATATGTTTAAAACCTGGACCACTGTCTCTGGTATTTCCATAGAATTGTGACATACTGTTGATTTCTCCTTGTGTTTCCCATTACTAACTTGGCTCAAAGAATGTCTTGGATAGTGGGTGAGTGTTTTCCCATCCCCTGGTTCATGTGTGCAGACTGAGTTTAGCTGTGTCCCAAAGGTCAGTGCTTCCAGGGATATACTTACAGTGGGTTGAGGCTGGGGTCCTTCCACTGCCCATGCATGAATTGCTCCATCTGAACATTCAGGAACGGGCTCAAAGCCAGCTCCACCACCTGAGGTACCTCCACAGTCACAACAGAGCAACAAAAATGGAACCACTGGTGGTATAAATATAGGAATACTCAGGTTACCAGCGGGCTCATAGTAAAGCAAAACAACCTTTTAAAAATGGTTAAGTCCGGATACCTTCTATATAATCATGCAATTCCAACGTTAGTATGAATGCTCAAGAAAACAAGCTGAATAAATGTCGGAATTTTCGGAAACATTGCTTTATTATAGTTATTTTTCATTTGTTTTTACTATTACAAATAGTATTATTTTATAATAGGCAATTTACCCTGTCATGACTTAGGAAAAGATAAAAAGAAAAGAGCAGAAATTGGAGAGCCCACATGAAAACTGAAGTTTTCTCAGCATCTATTTATTGTCAGTCTTCTACACAATATAATCTTGATCTTCAGTTTAGGATGAATGGATGGATAAAAGAAGTGATGTATAAGTGAAAATGTGAGGGAAGAAGGAAGGAAGAGAAGGATAAGAGAAGAAAATACAGGTTTAAAAAATCTTGTATGCTTTGCTTTTTGGAAAACACTAGATTGACAGGACACTTTCCATCTAGAGACATTACTCTAAGACCTGTATATAGATCTACAATCTTTTCGCAGCCATACTATAGAAAAGTAGTTCTCAACATAATAAAAAAAAATACATTCAAAGTGACATGAATTGAGTAAATGCTTGAGATATATTTAAAAGTGTCAGAATTAACAATCAGCACCTGGGTAATTAATTTTATAAAGCAGCACATTTTTAAGATTTATCATATTGGCTGATAATCAGTATGGCTGAAAATTTAGAATTTTATTACATATATATTTCATGTTTCATTCTGAAAATTTGCTGGAATTTTTACATTTTTGTTGTTTTAGTTCTTTTTTTTAGTAAGACTATTTAAAACCACATTTTTTCCTTTTTCATAGAACTTTTCCCAGTTATGAATTTAATTTGCAATAAGCCAATAGGAGAAATTTCTATTTTTCTGATGTGTAAATTATGTGTAAAATTATGTGTAAAATTTCTGATGTGTAAATTATGAATTAAATCTCAACTCAAAGCTGTGTGATTAGCATGTCTAAACGGCTGCCTTGATGAATTCTAGGAGATTAGAAAGTGTAATTTAAAAATTACTAATTTTTTCACATTTAAAATTTTAGTTTTTACTTATATGAGAGAGCAACACAAAGAAGAAAGGGAAGACATTAACAGAGATCAGCCATTTGCTTTGTCACTCCCTAAATTCCCGTTACACCTGGGTAAAGTACAATAAGTGAAAACATGTGATTTTTTACTGGTTTATTTTGTTATCTTCAGTTACATCCACTTTCAATATCAGAATTTCACTCTTTTTATGGCTACATAATCATGTGTGTATACCACATTTTCTTTTATGCAGTCATCAGCTGATTGCTATATGTAGGTTACTCCCAAATCTTTTCTATAACCCTGGCAGTGCGGGCAGCGATCTATGCCACTTTAATTTTCTTTGGATATATTCTCGGGAGAGGGATAGCTGGGTCATATGGTGGATTAGAGGAGTTTAAAAATGAAAGAAACTCCAGTTTACAAATAAATAATTAAAAGCATCCAGTTGTATCTGTCATGTAGTAATAGAAATGAATGTAGAATATTTTATCTATATGTGCTCTGACTTTATTCACATGTTTGTGTCCATTATCTGAGAAGGTTTCTAACACCATTTGTGATGTCATGCTTGAAGATCACAGAGTTTTTTGCATCAGTTTAATTGTAATGTAGAGATTTCAGCCTGCTCATTCCACATCTCCTAATCTTTTTCCTTAGGGATTGTAACAAGTGCCTAATTTCCATCGTAATTAATATCATAGCTAAGGAAATGCAAAAGACAACCCTGACTAGAGTAGGGCTACTCTCTTTTTCACAGGATTTACTAAATGTTTCATGTGTGGATTACTTTTTCAGAACCACAACAATATTGTGGATTAAATTTTCTTGCTTCACAAATGACAAAAACAATGCCCTTAATTGAAGAGTAGGTAACCTATGAAAAACTCATGCAAATAGGGTTAAACATTACAGTCTAATCCCAATTCCTTTAGGACTCTTATCAAATGAAACATCTCAATATAACATAAAATCCCTTTGAGATCTAGGTTGTGCTGGTCTCCAACTCTCAACCACACTGCCATGCCTACCCTCGGTCTCTCCCACTTCGGAGTTCTTCATTTTAGTCCCTTGCATATCATCCCAGGGGATTTTACATGTAGTCTTTTCCCTTACATTGTAATTTTTTTTCTCTTGTCCATCAGTCTAACATCTAGTCAGTCACTTGTGAAAACTCAACTCACTTTGTTTTCTATGTGTGGTCTTTCTGCTTGTGTCAACAAATTATTTCTGATTAAAGTTGTTTTTCGGATAGCTACTTTAACTTGTTTATTATGGCACCTTTCTATTGCATTGCATTTTACTAAAAGCAAGTATTTATCTTTACATCTTATAAACCTAGCATGAAACAGATATTTCTTGATAATTGCGCAAAAAAGGATTTTGTAAAACATATTTGATGAAATACTCAGAGGATGTATTTCCTTATTGATAATTTTGGGTGGTGTGCATATACAGATGGAAGCATTAAAATACTTACATCCTAAGATCAAGAATCCCATGACGAGCAATCCAATGCCAGCAGGACCAAAATGTACGTTATCTGCTCCACCTTGGTAGTTATCTGTTCCACCAGCACCGCTATTTGGGTTGGTATTAGTCTCTCCATTGTTGGAAGTGTTGTCAGTGGTGCCAGTTTGTGTTCCACTGCTGCCACTTTGATTACTTTCATTATTGGTGCTGGTTTCCTCACTTGTTTCGGTGCCAGTACTTGTTCCTCCACTTGTTCCTCCGCTTGTTCCTCCACTTGTTCCTCCACCTGGGTTAGTTTCCTTGGTTTCCCAGCCAGACCCATCAAGGTTGATGATAACTGTACCAGTACAAGTTCTTTGAAGTGAATCTGTAAAAAGTTTCAACACATAAAAATATTATATATTTAGTGTAATAGCCTTTGGATAATATAAAATTATTTTTTCATCAATACCTATTTCAATTATTCCCACTCAAGCCTTGTCTGTTACTCAGCTTTTAGATCAATTTATTATGTAATTATATAATTGTGTAATTATCCTTGTGAGTAGTAGCAATTCTATTTGGTGAATTATTTTCTGTATATGATAAACAGAAGATATTATACATAATTTTGAACCATAGAATTAAAAAGATACAAAAATAAAAACTCACAGGAGCAGTACACAAGGGCAACTAATATTTCAGAAGATCTTCTGCTTTTAGTTATAATGCCTTAGGGTTACTCATTGTTAATGTTACTTTGATGTGATTGTGCGATTCATTCCATTTTATACTTTTTTTTCTTAGCTTCAACTGAAAAACACTCATTTCTTAATATAAGTTTCACTAACATCGTTTCTGAGGACTATATAATTTTGTTTGAAGTAGACCATGACTTATCTATCTATTGCTTTCAATATTTAAGTATAGATATAGTGCTATTATTAATATATGTATGCAGTTGGCATTTTCTATTTAGTGTTTTTCCTAAGATGATTGGAAATGAAGTTATAATGTAAAAGTATAAGATACACTGAGATGAATTTTGTGAGCACTGAGATGAAGTCAAGATTAGCACTGTGAGCTTGCTCATTGTTATAACTCAACAACCTGGCCTAAATTATACTCTCCTGAATCATTAAAGATTTGACTCTGTAATGTCCAATATTACATCTTCTGCTAGAAAATGGGTTACTCTAAAAAGTATGCAACTGCGAATATTTATAGTTTCCTGCGTAAGGGAAGGAAGCTGATTTCTTACCATCTATAGATAAAATTGTTCCTTGATATTTTTCCCTGAGCATTTGATATTGTTCCATTGTAACTCTGTTTCTCAAAGTGATGACACCTGTTCTTGAGTCAACAGACAGCAAGTCGGCTGGATTATTTCCCATTACATATCTGTATTTGAAAGAAAACAATTCATACTAATGTCAGTCATCATAAAACGAGAAGCATTTTAATAAAGTGTGTGTGTGTGTTTTAGTTTTTCAGTCAGTACTTAGAACGCTTGGAGAGATTTTTCAGTTATGAGAGATTCCACCACCCCACCCCAAGGATAGCCCTAGCTGTATTCGAGCCACTTAAAAGTATAGAATAAAAAACACAAACAATACAAATCTAAATTTTAAAAAATTGCTGAGCAGCGGTTTCTGATAAAATGGCTTGCTATGCTCACTTTGTGTCAGAATATTCCCTTGGTGCTTGTAGTTGTATTGTAATTTGATTTTAGCAGTAGTAGAACTATCTTGACTTCTCCTAATTCTGAATGATTCTAAGAAGGGTGACCTCATTTTCATTGGCTTGGCTGGCACACCCTCCTCCAGGGCACTCCTGCTCCAAAATTTCCTTGCGACTTCACACGGCTTTTGAAGTGCAAACTGTCCTTGCCTAACTCCTCTGTCTTTCCCTTTCATTTTCATTCTGGCGAGACAGACACCACTTAGATAACTCTCTGTCTTAGATGCTTTGCTAAACTGAGAGAACTGAACTTGGAGAAGAGTTGGGGTCAGGAGGGGCTGGCTGGCTGTAATGACTGGACCTCTGCAGTCTGCTGCGGTGCGAGGAGAAAGGAGCCACTCCCACTGACACTCTGGGCACTATGAACACTTGCAAAGCACACTTCCGAGGCGAGGCACCTCTCTCTGCACCAGTCTCCTGTGCAAGCACCTTACACATACATATGCGATGCCTTCATGATTCATCAGAAATGTCTGCAGACTGAGTTTTCAGAAGCAGTACAGCGCTCTTTTCTCTTCTTACAAGTGATTTTCATACCCAAGTTACTGACCTACTAAGTGCTGAGGACTGTGAACAAAGTAACTGAAATGATCCAGCTAAGTTCACTGGATTTCCAGCTAAGCAAACCTACAATGGGAAAATCAGTTTCTGAAATCTCTCTGAGGAGAATAACTGCAACTATAAATTGCTAATCAACTAATTAACAATAATATATATAAGCACATGAGTGTCACATTTTTTGCGTGCTTTTTTTTAACCTCTTTACAATTTAACTCTTGTGTATTTCACAGAATCTTCAGTGTTTTCTTACGCTAGATACTAAATATTAAACAAGTTCAGTAGTTACTACTTTTTAAAATGAAATTCAAAAATAATAGAAGTATTTAAAAATTTCTAAAAATAATGTACATATTTTAATATGTGGTAAAATGCGTTAAAATATTATTCTCACCTAACATTTGTTGAAGGTAAACCTGTGTCTAGGTCAGTAGCCACGAATTCTCCCACTTTGTAGTTTGAGCCCATGTTACTGGTTACCACGTATGTCTTTGAACCTGGGCGGAACACGGGGCCTTCAACTACATTCAAGATAGTCACGGAGACCGCAGTAGCAATGATTTTATATTGAGACTGAATCGACTGGTGAAATTCAGCTTTATTTCTAACTCCAAGACTAAGCTGCAGATTCTTCATGGCTTCATAATCCAGGGGCTAGAAAATAGAGAGTGAAATAGTTTTACCTTAAGAAGAGAAAAGCATTCTAGATGGAAGAGAGGTCCTTTCAGAATAACTACAATTTATCCTTTTTATACTTAAATATAAATGCATATAACACACAAAGCTGATCTCTAAGTCAGTGTGTGAAAACACCCAAATGTTCTAGATCCATTATTGAAACTGTTGAAAATGTGTTACGGGAGCTATAACTATCTACTCAGCGGGTTTTAAAAACTTAAAGTGCTTCTAATAGTCAAATTATTGCAGTTTGAAATACAGGATAGCTTACATTCGCTTTAATTATTTTATATTACTCAGAAAGTAGCTCTGTTTAATATATGTTCCAAATCTATTGGCAATTCAATTATTTTAAAGGTTTTATCCATGAAGAAATTTAACTTCTGTATTTGCATAAATCAAAGGATGTAATACATACATAATATAAAGAAATGTTTATTTGCTCCAACATAATCTAGGAATAATTTATTTCACATTATAAAATAACCAAGCAGTGATTTCATTATGAGATGATATCAACATCTGATATTCATAAAATCCCACAAAACACTACAGATATGCCCATCTGTACCAAATTTTCCAAATTTTCTTGTGAAGGTAATTTAGTAAAAACAGATATTCACATATTGAACTCTCCTATTTAGCTAAAATTTTGAACCTTGTTCTAATGTTGATTTTTTTTTTGTACTTCAAAGAATTCCTACCAAATCATTTGCATCACACACATATATTGTATATAAAGTATTTCCTGTGTGATGTCATGTCTGGAAGAAAAAAAAAGTCCTCATCTGCATTCTAAAGAAAGAGATTTTGAGATGGATAGGATGAATGATTTCCTAAAGTGATATAATTATGTATAGTGAAGTAGATTAGGATCCAATTTTCCTAGTGTGGAATCCTATGCATTATAACAAAAAGGAAACCTAGGTTTTAATTTTGGTTGTATAACTTACTAGCGACTAGAACATGAGCTGGTTATGTACTCTCTCTGAGCCTCAGTGCCTGTGTCTGCATTATGGACCCAGTATAACTTGCCTTGTAGGGATGCTGTGAGAAATAAACAAAAGTGTCTGCTGCTGTTTAAAGTGTGGGCTGGAACAGGTATTGGTCTAGTGGATAAGATGTCCCTAACCCATACCAGAGTGCCTAGGGTCCTGGTTCCTGTCCTGATTCTGGTTTCCTGCTGACTTGAACTTGGAGGCAACACTGATAAGGAGGTACCTACCATCCACATGGGAGTCTTAGATATTCTGGATGGCTAGGCATTTGAGAAATGAACCAGCAGATGGGAGTTATGAGTGCCTCTCAATAAGCTGAGTATTTATCTTTGGGACACAGCTAAATTCAGTAAATAGAAACTATAGGCATGCTACCATGGAGGGAAAAGACTACCTATTCTGATTGGGAATGAAAGTATTTCAACAAGGATTACATTTTACTATGAAACATGGATTATGTACAACCATGTATAATCACACACAATCAGTCCATATTTTAAAAGTTGACTCCACAAGTCTTGTAGCACAGGGGAAAACCTTTATTAACAGCTCAGTATTAGTCAGTCTGTTCCCACATATGAAGAAATCTACTGCAGATAAATGTAGCTTATGATTAATAGAGTAGACATATTGACTTGGATTAAATCAGTGTTTCTTTTGCACTCCTAGTAAGTTGTTGTCATCAGTCACGGTGACATGGGAATCTAATAGTTCTCTACTTAATAGTAACCTGATTTTAATTTTAAAAACACATGGGAATAACAACTTTTAAGTTAAATGATGAATATTTTTGATTCATAATAATTGACCTACCATATTGATATGAACACATCATTGGATCCTATGTTAAATATGCTTTTAAGTATTCTTAAAACATTAACCTTAAGGATCAAGCATACTTGCTTTAAAGCATAAAATAAGGTTCTTGCTAAAGTGCTTTCAATTTGTATATTTTTCATCTGTTTGGAAGTACTGTATTAATGAAAAAGAGTTTCAAGTTAAAATTCAGTATCCTTTTTTATGAAATGATATAAGCAGTGCTGTATGTCATATAAAAATACAAAATAATATTGGTTCATTTTTGATTCAAGTTTATGAAATTTTAATATTTTTATCTTATTTATTTTTAGTTATTTTTTATTTGCCATATTCCTAAAACATTAAAAGCATCCTGACTATCAATAATCATGCCCATTTATGGGATATGCCATGACAATTTAATGCAAGCACATAATGTGTTCTGATCAAATAATAAGGAGCAGGACTGGCATTGTGATGCAGTGTGTTATGTTGCCATTTGCAATGTGTTAGGATGCTGATTTATGTGCTGAATGGCTCTCTTTTGATTCAGTTCTGTGCTAATACAGCAGGGAAAGTTACAAAATGGTCCCCTGGCTTTGGGGCTCTGTCACCTTGGAGGAGGCCCAGCTCAAGTTCAGCCTGGAGCAGTCCTGGCCATTGTAGCCACTCGGGGAATGAACTATTGGGTAGAAGATCTATTTCTGTTGTTTCTTCCTCTCTGTGTTACTCTGCTTTCCAAATAAATAAGATACAGTAAAGAAAAAATGAAAAACAACAAGAAAAACATTTAGGAAAAGTATGTCCTACCTTAATAACTTTTAGAGTTCCCACATTTGTTCTTTCATTCATTTCTATGTCAAACCAATTTCCTTCATTTCCAGAGATAAAGAAAATGACTGCCACCCAATTAGCTGTGTACTCTTCATCCAAATCAATTACTCTAATCTGCAGCAAATCTGAATATAGAGCATTTTCTTCAATCTTGATAGCATACTGAAACAAGAAATAAAAAACCTTTAACACAAACTGTAAAAGGAAGAAATAACTGGGTGTACGCAAGCATGTTCACAAATGTTTATTGCTTAATACATACATATGTTTATAGTCTCACTTTTCATTGATTTTTTTCTATAACAATCCAACATAAGAAAAAGCTATAGATTTTGATTTCATGGTACTACATGTAACATGTGCAGGACTGGATAGAGTTGTTCACATGCATTTTAGGATGTAATGAATTTGCAGTCATGACTGTTAGCACAAACACTTACCGAAGACTGTTCCATGTAGGGGATGTTGTCATTGACGTCCAGGATTTTAATGCTGCACTCAGTCTCCGCTGACATGCCGTCTGCCCCGCCGTCTCTGTCGGAACCTCTCACAGTAAGAGAATACTGGCTGTATTGCTAAAGACAGAAGAAACACGACCATTGGCATAGAAAGTTTTTACTATCTTATGCAAAATTCTTTGGAAATGTTGGTTCAACCTCCATATAAATGTAAGAGAGAAGAGTAACAGAACATTGGAGGAGGGCGAGAGATGGAGGGAGAGAAGAAGGGAGGGAAGTACGGTTATTATCATTCTCTCTTAGGTACTTTTGCTTTTAGAATCAATTCCTTCAAGACTTAAAATCTATTTAAAGAAAAAGAATTACCTCTCTGTCTAGAAAATTATTCATTGTTCGAATTTCTCCCGTGTATCTGTTGATGATAAACATTGGTGAATCAGAAGGTTGCTGACTTATGATCTTGAAGGCTATTTTTGAATTCAAATTGTTTGGTTCATCAGCATCAGTAGCATTGAGTCTCATCACCAAGGTATCTAGAAATCCAAGACAACTGATTGAAAAGGGACCATTTCCATTTTAATGACAGTATAGCATATCACTTTCCTAGAAACATGCTAGAATTAGCTGGTCCGTGTAATGTGCGTTTTATTAATGTCCCTTTCTCTTTTTCTACTTGCCAATCTCTTAGCTAGTTTGCATATTTTTCATAATAAAAGTATGTTATTGTGGTTTTATGTCTTATTACAGTATAATTCCTTCTTTTATAAACTTTTAAGATTATTATACTGAAGTACAATGACATAAAGGCCATCGTGTGTGTGTGTGTGTGTGTGTGTGTGTGTGTGTGTATGTGTGTGTAGGCATATCATAATTTCTTCACCCAGTCATGAGTAGATGGACATTTGGGCTGATTATGTACCTTAACCATTGTGAGTTGAGCTACTGTAAACATGGGGTATAGATATACTAATTTATTTTTCTTTCATCTACTGATTTCATTTGAGTAAATTCACAGGAGTGAAATTGCTAGGTCATGTGGTAGAACCATTTTTAGATTTCTGAGGAATCTTCATACTATTTTCCATAACTGTTTACTGGTTTACGTACTAATCAACATTGTTCTGGGGTACTTTGTTGCCACATCTTCAGTAGCATTTGATATTTTTTGACTTTTGGATGATAGCTGTGGCTTTTATTGGCTAATGAACTCAAGTATTTTTTTTTTATCTGTTGGTCAGTTGCATTTCATTCTTTGAGAAGCACCTGTCTATTCTCTTAGCCAACTTTAAAACTAGTTTGCTTGTTTTGTTGCGCTTGTGTTTCTTCTGCTTATCACTGGGCAATTTTTTCTAACGATGTTTTTAAATGTTTAAAGTATAGTTAATTTAATGAGTAAAAATACAAGGAGTTTTGAAATGTGTAAAAAACAACTGCTTGATGGTTAAAATTACAAACAAGTAAAGTTTGTCTTCAAAGTAGGAATTGTTTCTTCTGCTTTAATATATGAAAGGCAATCTTTAGTGGTGGGCTAGGCTGTTAATGTACTATCCTCCCCAGTGGCCAAGTATTTGGCAGATGTTGTCGATTAGAACAAGCCGGTAGACAGCTGCATTTTAAGAGTGTCAAAGTCTCTGCTGAAAGAGACTTTCGATTTATAGATTTTCTGGAGTCCTTATGCTGGCACCATTTGGGACAACTGATTTTAAATATTCCTACTAACCCAAACAGACTTGGATGTATATTGATTTAAAATACATAAAATCAAGGATGAGTAAAAACCAAGCAAACCCTAAAAAGTTTGCCTTCAATACCTTCTGTTTTTGCATCCCCAAATTTAACCAAACTGTGGTTTAGGTTGAAATTGTGTGCCGCACATGTACCTGTGTAGTCTTTATTCTCTAAACAATACAGTACAGTAGCTACTTGTACAGCATTTACACTGTATTAGATCTTAGAAGTCATATAGAGATGATCTAAAAATTGTAGGCAAACACTGAGCCATTTTATATAAGGAATTTGAGCATCCAGTCTCTGATATTTTCTGGAGGTGTTGGGACCAATGTCCTGTGAATGTCAAGGAGTGACTATATTAAGTCATATATAAGGGGAAAATATTGTTTGTTTTGCAAAAGCTTTTGACCACAAAAATACATTGTATGGAAGTGATATCTGTGGCTGAGTTACTTGAAAATAGTTTTTTAAAAAAAAAATGGGTAGCGGCAGAAGAAGGTGAGATTGTTCAGCAGTCAGGCTGGGAATAAATCCTCACCGAGTGCCCCGTCCCCTCTGTGTAAACCACTCTGGGAATAGATTGTTGGGAATCTTGCGTAGTAGTAGAATGTGAACTGCATCAGAAAAATCTCGTTATTGTTTGGAGTTGGTTCTTGTGTATGACAGACTGAAGCTGCTCTCAGAGCTGAAGAGAAAGCTTCTGGGGCCAGCTTTGTGTAAGTTTATGTTCCATGTAAGTTTATGTCCTGGGTGTTTTGCTTTCCCATCCAGCTCCCTGCTAATGGCCTGGGAAAGGAATCAGAAAATGGCCCAAGTATCTGGACCTTTGCCACCTGTGTGGGAGACCCATCTCAAGCGCCTGGCTCCTGGCTCCAGCCTGGCCCAGAGCTGGCTGCTATGGTTATCTGGGCAGTGAACCAGGACATAGAAGATCGCCCTCTCTGTCTCTTCCTCTCTCTCACATTCTGTACTCTTTCATAATCTAGAAGCTTTTTATTTTTTTTAATGAGAGGGGAAGCATTTCTGTTTTACATACTGTTCTGTAAGTTGTCTTCACATTCATCATGTTTATAGACTGACATTATCTGACCTGTAATTTCCTGATTCTTTGGAAATCTATTTGCTAAAATAGATTGGTTACTTACTTGCATTAGAATTTTCTTCTACTTGTCCTATAAATGTAGTCATTGAAAACACTGGAGGGTTGTCATTTATATCCAAAACTCTTACTCTGAGCTCAAGAGGCCGCTCCAAATCCTGACCTTGTGAATTTAGAGCCCGGCAATAGATCTAGGAGAGAAAAGGGGCATAATCAGATGTTGAAACACATTTCAAGGTCTTACTTTTCTAGACCATGTGGGAAATGAAAAGAAAGACATTGTTATTTATTGCTACAAAAAAAAATATTCCTATAATCAGTAAGGGATGGAAAACACAAATACTTTAAGAAAACACAAATACTTTAAGAAATGGTAACATAAGTTGCAAAGAGGGAAAAGACAAAAGATACGATTTTGTAGGAGGATATCATGATTGGAGGGGGTCTCAAGATGGAATTTCAAGAAGCAGGGGTGGAAGTTTGTAAAGTGTATCAAAGAGGTTATGAAAACAAAATTTGGAAGTATAATCAGGAACTGATGGGAGGGTTTGAAAATGGGGTAAAGGACTGTCCCTTGGGAGTGAAAAAGAAGTGCAGCATTCTTGACTGGATAGCTGCTATATGGATTTTCTGTTATTGTTGTTTATATTTGAATTGAATGCAACTGCATCTATTTTTTTGGATGTAGTATGTTTTATGTATTGGGTTATACCGGGAGACCTTTTGTTTGAGAGCAGAGATGCCTAATAGTGTGAAACAGTTAAATATGCCTTGACAATATGATACTAGATTTTCCACCTTTGTCTATGCCCCCAGTGCCGTGATACACTTAAAAGGCAGAATGTTAAACATGCAACTGTTTCTAAAGGACTATACTACTGTAGTAATGATATTGGGGGGGGGGCAATGGTGGAAGGAGAAAATAAGGAGGGAGAAAGAGAAAGGGGGAATCCCTGTCCCTACACACTGTATCATCGAAAATAATTAAAATGCATGATAAAAATGTATTAGGCTAACTTGTTGATTTAGATAGTTTGTGGGCAAACACTATGGAAGACAAGGCAACAATAAAGAAATGGAATTGAAGGTAAATGAATTAAGGTAGGCCCAGGAACACATGTAAGCAGTGAGTGAAAGCAGTGAGTGTAGATTATTATTTGAAGGTATTTTAAGCTAAAGATGGAGGGATTTTTTTTTTTTTTTTGCTGGAAGATGTTGCAAGATCAAAGAAGGGCTTTTTAGAATTTTCATCTTAGTTATCAAGAGAGACAGATGAAAATGGAGATAGAAATAGTGTAAGCAAAAAGAGAAACACTAAGTTGATAAAACCATTGAAAATAATGGAAATGGTTCAGAGTAACCTGCTGTGTGTGTGTGTGTCTGTAGGGGCAGGGAGACTGAAAATTGATTTTCCATTTGGATTTAGTAAGAAACATTCTGAGCTAAGGACAATTAATTCTGGAAATTTGTAATGGATAGTCCAAGCCTTTTAAATATTTTTGAAGCCAAGTCCATCTGCTTAAAATGAAATGAGCTTGAGAGTTGAAAGGGAGAGAATTGTTGAGCCCTGAGATGACTCTTGTGGATAATGGAGTGAGATTCAGTTAAGAATGAATTAATCTCCAAAATATATTCAGAGCTCAGATGAACTTAAGCAACATGATTGCTTAACTCTAGAATTGTTTTATTGGTACCAAATTTAAAAAGAAATAATTTCAATGCAGTTAAAATGCAATCAGAATTAGATACCTATTTTTTCTAAAAATATCCAAGTTTCTATGGAGGAGAGATTAGAGGCTTGAAGTTTTGCTAAGACACAAAAGTAAAATATTCTTTTCTCTACTAATTTTCTCCTTGTTTCTATTCAGTTATGGCTGTTTGTATATTAAGAGACATTAAAAATGCCTAGTATTGAGACCTGTGAAGTCAAACCAAAGCTTTTCCAAGTTTCAGACCTTCAAGAATAGTTTAGACCTGGAAATAAACAGACATTAAGCTTACTTACAATGAAGAAAGGAGTGACTTCTCGATCAACTATGGATGTTATGTTAATTTCACCGGTTTTTTGATTAATAATGAAGATTCCGTAAGGTGGCTGATCAATTCCTACTCCAGAGATGCGGTATGTTACTTGCTGGTTTGCAGCACAGTCCGAGTGAATCTGTAGGAAAAACATAATTGCAGATGTCACAGGGAGAAGATACAGTGTCCTGTGGTTGATGCATGATGGCTGTCTTTCTTGAGAACTGTTAAATGTGCTGTAGCTATTGCAACTTGTCATGTGTTAAAATGGAAAATTATTTACCTAGATAAGAATAATAATTATAGTATTTCTTTTTAATAAAGAATTATTTTTATTGGAAAGTTAGATATACAGAGAGGAAGAGACAGATAGGAAGATCTTCCATCTGTTGATTTACTCCCCAAGTGACTGCAACAGCCAGAGCTGTGCCTATCCAAAGCCAGGAGCCTGGAACCCTTCTGGATCTGCCATGCAGGTGCAGAGTCCTTGACTGCTTTCCCAGGCCATAAGCAGGGAGCTGGATGGGAAGCAGGGCTGCTGGGATTAGAGCCAGTGCCCAAATGGGTTCTAGACGCTTGCAAAGTGAGGACTATAACCCCTAGGCTACCGTTCTGGGCCCAATTATAGTATTTCAAATGTAATTGTATGACACTGTAGTGTTTTCAATGGTAATAAATGATGTATCAAGCATATATTTCTGTTTCTACCAAAGGAAAAATATCACCCTCAGAAATCTAAGTCTGTGTAGTCATCATCCCTTCATTCACCATTTATAATTTCATTTTTTATGATTTGCAAATTCTGTGCTAACATTGGGTCCAGAGTAAAAAGTACCTTGTCTTCATGTGGAATTTACTAATGTTGATAAACTACAACTTTGATATTTAGATTCAAGAATTTCCAAAGATATTTTTATCAGAAAGTGTGCATGAAATTGTACAGATAACAAGAGTGCTCTCAGTGTAGAAACTATTAATTAAAAACAGGGAGATGCATTAGCAGAAAATGGAAGGAGACCATGCAAATAAATGGCTTATAGCAACCACAGCCATCTCTTTGAAGTAACATACTGCTCACTGCAAGCAAATCCATGTGTGTCTATGTGGATTTGTGGTTGTCTCTGTGTGTACTTGTGTAAATAAATCTCTGTGTGGAGGTATGTTGCTGAGTGTACGTTTCTGCAAAAAGAATGATAATGGAAAAGGAACACAAAAGAGATACAGTGTGAGCTTCATGACCAAGTACAAAGCAAGGATTCTATTTTAACAGCTTTCAGGCAGAAGGAGCAGTGGGTTAAGGAGATCCTCTGAATCTTCTGAATGTCAAGGTCATTATTTAAATCACTGGACTCTTTGTTTAAGGCAGAGTTCTAAGAACCACATGATGGCATGCATTGATCCCACCAAGGAGATGAATGAATGCCAAAGGGTTCAGTTCCTGCTACTTTGAAAAAATTGCATTTATTAATTTATTTGTATTTGAAAGGCAAAAAAGATGCTGAGTGACCTCTAGTGTACTGGTTCACTCCATAAATTCCTGCAACAACTAGGACATGGCCACATTGAAGATAGAAACCTAAAACTCGATTTGGTTCTCCCATGTAGGTGGCAGGTACCCAAGTGCTTGGGCACCAACTTAAGTACTTCAGCTAACCATTGCTAACTCCTAGGATGTGCATAAACGAGAACCTGCAATTGCAATTGAAACTGGGATTTGAATCCAGGTGCTTCAAAAAAAGGGGTGGATGCTCCAAGTAGCATTTTAACCAGTGCATGAAACATTGGCTTTAAATGTCTCAGTTTAACTTTTTAGGAGCTCCAGTTTTCATAGTCTAGGTTACTGTATAAGCATCATGTCCTATTTGATATCATAAATCCTGGTGATATATGGTCAGATCTACTTAAGAGAGTTTCTTTTGAAACATTAATTGCAGCATTTCTCTTTTCTTCTCATACAAAAGTTAAAAAAAAATCATGGATTTCTGATATACAGTATGTTTTAAAAAGATTCATGTTTATTTATTTCAAAGTCAGCATAACAAAGAGAAAAAGAGAGACAGAGAGTGAGAGAGATCTTTCTGCTGGTTCATTCCCTAGCAGCGGCCAGTACTGAGCCAGTCTGAAACTTCTGACTTCTTCTGGATCCCCACATAGATGCAGGGGCCCAGACACGTGGGCCATCCTCTGCTTGTTTTCCCTGGCCATTAGCAGGGATCTGGATCAAAAGTGGAGTAGCCAAGACACAAAATGATGCTCATAATGGTTGCTGATGTCTCAGGCAGCAGCTTAACTGTCTAAACCACAACAACGTCCAAATACAGTTTTCAGAGCATAATGATGGTTCCCATCCCAGCATACCTTCTTCCTTCTCCCTCTTCCTTCTTTTACATTTTTACAATGACATACTTTTAATTTACTTTGGAATCACAAGCTTAACCCTCCACCCAATAGTAATAAGTGCAAAAACCCCTGTTTGTCAAAAGTATAGATTAGATTTATATATAAAAATTAATCAAATCTTGATGTGTCAGTTTGCTCATATCCAGCATTTTCTTTTTGTACTCTGTATTTTGGTTAACACAGTTCAGGAAGTGTAGTTCTTACTTTATGTTCTGCGTTGGCATACTCACTTTGGCAATTGGGTTTCTCTTTGAGTTGTCCTCGCCTTCTCGACAGGCTGCTGCGAACTTGATCCACTCTCGCTTCTGCCTTCTGATTGAATGCCACTTGACAGTGCCATTTTGAGTGTTGTAATCTCTCACCTTGAGTAGGAAGGACAAAGTGTCTATTCACTTTTTCTTGAGGATTTTATATCTTTTAAAATTTATATATTTAAAACAGAGAGAGAGAGTGAAAGAGAGGAAGAGACACAGAGGCCCTCTAACCACTCATTTACTAGTCCCCAGGTGACAACAGCGGCCGAGGTGGGGTAATTATAATGTCAGAAAGAAATGATGCTTTATCAGGAAAGCTGACATTTTATTCACCTATTAATTTTAACATTATGCTAACTTTACATAAATATGTGATTCCCCCCAAATTATTTTGTTTATTTTTAGATCAGGAAAAAATGGATTTGTTATGCATTACCTGTATTCGAAATTCACAATTAACTTCCACTATCACCTGTAAAAATAAAATGGCACAAGTTAATTTTAAATAGAATTATTGAAAATTCGTATTTTTCAATAAAAAAATCAATCATGTGAATTGCTATTTTCTGAAGAGATCAAGTAGATCTGAATTGCTTCTGAGATATGATGATTTTTCCTATTTCATTTTACTCATCTTCTGTATGTTTCTTTTTAAACATTTATTTATTTATTTATTTTATTTGAAAGGCAGATTTACAGAGAAAAAGAAAGAGAGAGAAAGATCTTCCATCCACTGGTTCATTCCCATAATGGTCAAAATGACCAGAGCTGAGCAGATCTGAAGCCAGGAACTAGGAGTCAGGAGCTTCTTCTGGGTCTCTTACACAAGCACCATGCCACAGGCAGGGAGCTGGAATGGACATGGAGCAATCGGGACACAAACTTGTGCCCATGTGGTATATTGGTGCTTGTAGGGAGGGGATTAACTTCGTAAGCCATGGCATCAGCTTTATTTCTTTTAATTTTTAATCTTTTTTTCATTCTTGGTTTAATCAGATATTGTGAATCAGAACCAAATGGGGTGAATATTGGAAACTGAAGGTAGTTGTAAAACTTATGTCTGAAAAATTGCAGATTCTATGATGCGATTACGTGGTTTTCAACTACAAATTGAAATGCAATTGACTAAATGTGCCAGGATCTGACTAACTACAGATGGAAACAGAACCAAGTGAGGAAAGGAGACGAAGCACAAAAACATGCAGAGAGCTTCAGATTATGTAGCACTTCATGTTTCAACACGAGATGGAAAGTTTTTCAGTAGTCTTGAAATTGTTAGGATGATATTCTTTACCTCCTTTGAAAAGGAGTATAAAATTCTAATTAAAATGATTTCCTTTATATAAAACTTGAGTTCATATTAGATGTGTTATTGTTAACATAAAATAAAAAATTATATAAATCCATCCTGATTTAGAAGCAACAACAAAAAAATGATGGAGGGACAAATGGTTGGCTGCAATACTCTATTAGTCTCTCGGGCCAGTCAAGCAGAATCTAGTTTGTTTCAGCCCTGACCTTGGCCGTCACCAGTGATGTGTAGTGGAAAAAAACTAAAAAATGAAACAGATATTTAGAATTTTTTTTTAAAAACACGGGAATTTCTGAAAACACACTTATAGATTGAATTACATATCCGCATTCATTTGTTCAAGGTATTATAAAATGTTTATGTTAAGAAACAAAGTGTGGATTTGAAGCTTAATTTGCATGTATAAAGTTTTAAATGGCACATAGAATACGTTGGAGAGGATGTACATCCTTGGTTTTCTTCCACTCTAAATAGAGCTGTTCAGTTTCTAATTGATTGTTTTTCAGAAATGCAATACATGGAAACTACTTCCCCAAGTTAACTTCACTTGCATCACATATATAATGAAAGATTAAATGGCAATTTGAAGATTCTCATTATAGTAATATAAAAAATAAAGTTTATATATTTCACCCTTAAAGAAAACAAAATTTCAATTGATACATGTTTTAAAAAATGGTCATTCTTGGTCATCCAAAGAAACATATTTATGGTTAATGCATGAAAACGGAATGTATTAAAATCATTTATTCAGGATATAAAATTAATCATGATTATTGCTGTGAAAATTCACTAAATGACACCACGCAATATGTTGAGAAAACTCTATACATTTTTTCATCACAATAGATACATCTGACCACTAATATTATTAACTCCATCTCACGAGAGTAGAGGGAGGAAATTGAAGCTTGGCTATTAATATATGATTAAGTTCAATCTAATGCAATTATAAAGCCTAAATTTGTGCTTGCGCTGTGAGTTCTATGAGAAAGTATAGGAGAGTCTGCTGAAAAAAATCAATAATTAAAATGTGCTGCAGGGTATTGAACCTTGGTATTTTCTCTGGTTTTAATCTAAGCTCATATTATCCTTGAGGTTAATAATGTTATATTAAAAACAACAGTAAAGCAAGAAAAAAATAATTAAAATGGTTCAAATGTTTAGGAAATAGAAGTGAATTGTTACTTAGGGAATCCGTCTCCGATGCAACACTGACATGGTCTGCATGTGAAGGCACACTTGCCTCCTGTGGAAATATGAGTACTTTTCCCTTTTACTTGTGGCGTTGGGCTGGGGAATGTGGGGAAACCTTATTTGTCTGCTTGGAAGTTATTCCTCGTGTATGCATCTATTATCTCCTGCTGCACTTCCCTTAGCCCCGTGGACTGCCAGTGCCTGCTGTTTGTTTTGGATAATGATGCTGATGACTAAGAAGACACTCCAGCTTTATGAAGCTGGGTCATTCTTTTTCCCATGAGAGGCAACTTAGGCAGGAGCCCAGGTAGGTTTCAGCATAGTGTCAGACTCTCAATTTGGATGAGTAATTACAAAACTGCCAAGTCTGCTTAAACATGTGGTGGGTTGATCTAAGCTTATTTTCTTTTGTCAGGAGCCTAGAGTAAGCCCTGAAACAAAGTTGCTCTTAGACTGTCAAAGGCAAACTAATGGACCAGTAAAGGGTTTGGGTAAATGAGAAAATTTTGAATGTGTTCTCTAAATCTCCTGGAGAACAGGAGTCGATTAAATGATTGGCAGACACTTTTCTAGTTCTCAAATCAAATTCCTATATGCACTAGGAAAATATTGAGGCATTTTGAGAATGAGAAATATAAAATTGTGGGTTTAGAGGATCTCTCTGACAATCTTTGGAAGAAGTAGTGAGAAGACACAGCAATCACAGACCATGAACACCTGAGAATCTTCTGGGCTAAATAAGGTTACAGGAAGGAGGTGCTAATCGGAGGAGCTAGAGAAGAGACAGTGGGAAAGATTGAGAGATAGACAGTGCAGGGAATTGGAACAGGCAGGATGAGAGAGTCAAGAGAGGAAGAAATCTCCGGCAAGAGCAGCTTAAAATGTGGGATTAGCAGTACGGCAGAAGTAGATTTTAGCATGTTAGAACACATTGCTTCAGATGCCAGAAAAAAAATGCCCTGGTAAAAATGCTTAGCAATTTGAAATATGCAACAGGCATTCTGAACAGCCTGGATGCATAGATTTGAGATGTGAGATTTGTTCAGACAGATTAGTCCAAATCATGGGAGAAGCTGAGGTTGCTAAAGTAGAGGGTATAGCCAGTGGCTAAGGATGAAACCAGGGGAATTCATGTGTTTATATAACTGGGAACAAGGACAATGGGGATAAGAAATCAAGAAAGCAGCAGACAACTAGCCAAAAAAAAAAAAAGAAAAGAAAAGAAAAAAACGAAAAGAAAATATAACTCATTTTAATGGATGTCAAAAGAAAGGAGAGATTGAGTTGGATGGAAATACAAGAGCGTCAGAAGGTACTAAGAAATTTGAGCACAGTAAACCATGAAGAGCCCTGGATTTTCAGTCACTTGTAATAGAACTGTTTTAAGTAAATGAAACAAGTGCTTGTATGACAGAATGCTATTAGCAATTACGATGGAGGGAGGTAGGACATAAGTTGGCCACATCAAAAAAGATGGGATAGAACCAGCTGTACTACTCAGGGACATCTTCTGGGGAGGGAAGATTCTTGATATGTGAGAAAGAACAGAGACAGAGATTTTTATCTAAAACAGGTTCATAAATCAGATGCTGGGGTTGGGGTTGTGGTGTGATGGTAAGAGCTACCTCCTGTGAAAACACCATCCTGTCAGGCTCTGTTTGATGTCCTGGCTGCTCCACTTCCAACCCAGATCCATGCTAATGTGTCAAGTGTTTGGCCTCTACCAACTGCATGGTAGACCTGGGTGAAACTCCTGTTTCCTGGCTTTGGCCTGGAATGGCCTTAGCCACTGGGGCCTTCTGCGCATGAACCTCTGAATAGAATATCTCTTTATCTCTCCAACTCTGACCTTCAAATGAATAAATAAATCTTTTAGAAAAAAAGAAACCAGATGCTTAAGAGGGATGTTGTAATGGAGAGAACAGAAGGGCTTGACAGAAAACCAAAAGGATTTAGAAGACAGAAGATAAAAGACAAGAGAAAGTTAGAGATAAAAATCAACCAATTAGGAAAAGGAAGTTGAAGCACTTATCCTGAATGACCAAGAGCTTGTCCCTAGAAAACAGTGAGGTTGTTTTCCAACTATTAGAGGAATACTTTGAGTATAGCAATGAATGGAGTCCATGGTATGGGAGCTGTGAGTGAGATTCACAGAGGTGAACATAGGTTATCAAGGTGAGTACGTCTGGTATGTCTGAGCTCCTAGTTCAATGGCCATGGGCATCTGAGCAAGTTACTCAGCCAGTCTGTGCTTGAGTTTGTTCCTCTGTGTGTGAGACTAAAGCCTTTTCCAACTCCAAAGCAGTGGATAACTCACCTACAGTGCATCCTCAGTAAGTCTTCCTTTTGTCTTTGTTTTAGAACCCCATATATCATTTTCATTAAGACATCAGGATATGAACTTACATGACGATTTTAATAATTTGCTAACTACATCTACTTTTAGCGCCTTTTTTAAAGATGAAAGTCATGCTTACACTTGTTAACATATAACAATTTGAAGGTAGCAAATAATTTTAATAAGGAAAACCTCATTCATTTAACAAGCATGATGTGACTTCCACAGTTGTTTGAAAGTTTTCTTGGGTATTAAGTTCTAATATATTAATTGCTATGCATATTATAGAATGCTCTGGACTCCAGCTAAGTTATAGTAAATTGCTTCTCTGAAAAATCATTTCTTTTCTGTTCTGCTCTAACAAAGGGTGTCAGTTTGGGGGTTGTTTCCCTTGGTATATATTGAATGTGTATTATGTGGATCCAAGCTGAATTAAGAATTTAACAGGCCAAAACTCTAAAAGTAATATGAAAGTTAGCTAAAATGTGAAATAGACTCAATATGACTACTTGCATATTTAATATTTTGATGATAATTTGGAGTGTATAGGAGAAAAGAAATGCAAATTTTCTTGAATATCTCTTCTGGCTTTTCTGTTTTGCATGATTAACCTATTGAGTAACCTTGCATTGGTACAGAGAGCTATGAGGAATACTGAAGTGAGTCAGACATAGAACTTGCCTTCAGATAACTTACAATCAAGGAGTTTCATTAGCAATGGGCAGTCATTAATTTCTGGAAATATAATTTCTCAATGGGCAACTGGACTTGACTCTACTGAGCCAATTAAGAGCCTGGATCAGCAGCCAATGACTTTAAAACAATTTGACCTGCCTAAATCCACTAAACAAAACCACATGCCAAGCATAACCAGTGAGGGTGGCATGACCCAGCGCTCTGCCAGGGTGTTTCCTCAGTTGAGGGAGTGCAATAATGGAGCTGCATTGTCAAGCAGAACAGGCTTCCTGATCACACCTTAAGAAATGCCTGTGAGGACACAGGGGTCCTTAGCAACAGTGTCTGCCACAAACGTTGAATGGAAAGAGTGATCAGAAATGAACAGCTCTGGGTATAGACAAGAATGTCATTTTTCTAAATTTCTAAGACTTATTAATCAGGCAAATATTACGCCATAGTGCTAAGCCCTCAGATTCATCAAGACCGCATTTACCAATATTGTAGTTTTTCTTGTTACACGCAATAGGGTGGGCAAAATGTTTGCATTTTGTGTCAACTCAAGCCACAGAGTGATAATAAATTGTGCTCTCTGTTTCTAAAAGGTGAAAGAAGATTTGACTCTGAATCTGCAATGAGCCAACAAAGCTTTTATAAGCACCGTATTAGTGAAAACTATTATACTTACCCTGAATAGGTGAACCGGAATACTGCCTCCATTTATTTTTAAAAAATATTTTACTGAAATACTAAAAATCTGTAATCCATATCATTGTAATATATGCACAAGGAAACAAAAAAAATCCTTCTCATTGGCTTATCTTATCTAAATCTATACTAGATTGTTAGTCTTTTTCTTGTTTTAGGTCACAGTGAAAATAGTCATGGGAACCTAAGATGCCTGGTTCAAGTAAGTTTATGAAATAGGCAATGAGAGGTATTTTGGTTTCTGTGCATTTTAATCTGCTTCTGAGAAGTACTCTGAAAACTTTTACCTAGTGTTCTAAGGAGGTAGATTATTAGATAGTTTATTTTTTCTTTTAATGAAATACTAAACTATAGAAAGAGGAGACGTTAATTTGATGAATTGAAGAAACCATCATCTGTAGTAACATAAGCAGTGTTTTCTCTGTTCTATGAGCTTGAGCTGCAGTAAAAGATGCCTTTACTAAAAAAGACATCTCCATATTGGAATTGATTAATGCACTAATTGGATTTGGAAAAGTTGCTAGTAATTTGTATAAGTCATTGGAACTATAGAAATTGTGTTTCCCATCCCCCACTCCCTGTCCCCGCATTATCCACGCTGCACTGCTCACCATTTTAACCTCATCCACACGAATTTCTAATGTTTGTTACAGAGATAATATAGTTTCTCTGTCCTATAGAAAATACATTCTAAGTCCATTTCATACACCGGTTTCATGGGAGCAAAAAACAAAAGAAAAGCTCAGAGTCACTAAAGTGTATTTGGCTTGCAGATACATAGCTGGTATAAACTATTGTCTAAACTTTATTGACTATTGATCACTTTAAAGAACTATATCTCCACTTACTTCTCCCTAATCTAGCTAACTTATTTGAGTAAGGTGTAAAATTTCTACGTATCTGGAACAGATCACAATATGATTATACACAACTGCTGACTTTCAAATTGATTCTTATTAAAAGCACTGCTGGTTTAAATATCGTAGGTGTCTTCATATTTGCCCAAATATACTTCCTGGGCTTTTACTGATCAATTTAAAGCAGAGAATATAATGTTTTATATAATTTTTGATAATGGTAAACATTCACAGTGGACTAAGAGAAGGGAAATTAGAACAGTTGTATATAGTATTTGCTGTGTTTAGGAAATAAAAATTTAAGGTCAAAGCTAGATTAGATAACTCCAATGCACAATTACCGCAATTATCTGGTAAAATTGGTAGTAAAAACAAGTTACAATCTTCTCAAACCATACAAAGTACATTTTAGAAAGAGTTTGTCAATGTGAAGATGAAACAGTTAAATTTATGATCATATAAGTCCTTTGAGGAAATAATTTTTATAATGCATGAGAAACCTGTTAGTGATCCTAAAGTAAAATATGACTAACTAATCCTTCCCCCAAAACCTCCTGGCAAACAAAAATCTGTTTCAAAAAATAAAGTAAAAAATATCCAGGAATTTCTTTTTAAAAAGAGAAAGTTCAATGAAGTAATATGATTTTGATAAAATGATACATTTTATGGAAGGATGACTAATTAAGTTACTGTTTCATAGAACTTTATAGGGTATAGTTAATTAGAAGTAATCACATAAATCAAGAAGGAAAGCATGTTTCAGAGACTCAATGACAGTGCACAGACATCTGACACAATTTTAATCAACTGGGCCTATAAGATGCCCTAATGGATTAAATGTGTCAAAATGCAAATAAAAGTGATTTTTTGATTATATTCAAACTATCTCACATTCAAATAATACACCAGGTCATTGATCCTTGCTTTATCGGAAATCAAGATCTCAACTGACTACACAAATTCCGTAAAAAGTACATGAAAAAGCACTGATGTTTGAAGCATACTTGGAACTAAATGTAACAACTTATGAATGTTCACCAGTGACAAAATTCATTGGTTATGGCCTCTCTTTGTTGAATTCAAACTAACCAGCATACCTCAAATTAAGATCTGACTTGTTATTACACAAGCCCAACATTCCAGTTCAAAAATTAAGCATGTAGAAACAAATACAAGTCATAACACTACATTCTGCCAAGGTGGAGGGTGATTTACCTGCTACCTGCTTGTCTGAACTGCATTAACCTGTGAGAGAGACTTTGATTTTAAAATATTTGCCAAAAGTGAAGTTGACAGAAATGGACAGATCTTGATGCTGCATTCTTTAAAAGAGAAAACTAATGCCATATAGAGGAAAGAGAATGAGAAAGTATTTTATTACATTCTTCTGGCCATCAAATAATCAACTTTTATGTCACCATTATTACTGACTTTCCCGTAGTAAGGACAAGTATAGTGATAATTATACGTACTCATTAATTATAGTCATTCTTTCACTTACTGTGTCATTTAAAAATCTTCTATACCTCCATTTCCTTTTTTTTCTTTGAAATTAAAAATATAATTTTAGGCAGAAATCGTTGTTTTGCAGTATGGGCTTCTGATCAGACGATGGATCCTAGCCACATACGGAACCCATGACATTCATTGACTCAGGAGTCCAATCACAAACTACTAATATTTTTACTTATATGGATCCTGATGTTATATTTCAAAACTATGATGAGTCTACCAACAATGACACCAAAATAACTGGGAAAACGTTTAGGCTAAAAATCAGGACATTATCTGTAATATTTCCTTTTGAAAGCGAATTTGAACAACAAGATATTACTGAGCAGTGATATGGATTTCCTGAATCCAGGGTTTCCCCAGAATGACTTAGCAATGACTTCAGTGTCACAGATGTGAGATGATGAGTTGACACCAATACACTATATGACTTAGAGTATTGAATTAAAGAAAGAACCGCTTTAAAAGATCTAGCTCATAGATCATCTTGTCGTTAACAAACTTTTAATAGGTTTTGATCGGAAATATTACTAAACAACACTCTAAAAAGCACTGCCTTGTTTACACTGAGAATGATTGTGAAGGATTTTTAGGGGAATCCACTCACCAGAAAGATAAACAGCACTGCCGCTGTTAGGAGGGAGCGCCAGTTCATTGCTGCCGGGTTCTCTTACATCCAAGACCAAGGGAGTGTTGTTTGTTCTTCTCTGTTCCTTTTCTTTTCCCTGCTCAGCGTCTGATTAAAATAATTTCTCAGTAGATGTTCTTACATGCAGGCTTTGAGGTGTTTCTGCCTTCCTCTGGGAGAAGGAGTGAAGGTACGTATAACCAGTTGCGATCCCCACCCTAAAAACTTGGGCTGGTCTCACTGAAAGGCTTGACAAGATCATCATTGCTCCCAGGTAAAAGCGCAGGGACACACCCTTCTTCCAGCTGAAAGGCAGCACTGCATGTGGCAGGGAGGGATTCAGTGGCAGGCACTTAAAAGGAACACAATTTGGGAGGGTTAACAAAGGGGTGAAAGCTTCTGTTATTTCTAGATTCTGTGGCTTTCCCTCATGTTAAAAGCGCAGGGACACACAGGTTGCAAATATTACAGAAATGTTCATAACTAAACCCTCAGGTCACAAGAGAAAATTATAAATTTGTTTTCAGTAGATATTGGGAATTTGGCTATTTTTTAAGCTGTTAAGAGACTAAACGTTTGCTAATGTGGAGAGTACAAAGCTGCATTTTGACAACATTAATTCAAAGAAGGTGAAACTGGGATACTTACAATTATTAGGTCTTCTGCCTAAATCACTTATCTTTGGGTGAGCTGCCTAATCCAGGGAGCCTTCATTTTCTTTCTAAATGAATATTTTTCTCTTCTATTATCTTTCTCTTGTTAAGATTTCAAATGCAGTAAAACAAAATTGAAAATATCTCCAAGCTAGATTAAAAGTAAACAATGAAAACTCCCAATTAAAATCCTGTTGATAATTTAAAAAAATAAGGTTCCGTGCCTGAAATACTCATGTAGCCACAGAAAAGCTGCTCTTCAGGTGAGGTGGGTTAAAAGGCAATGAAGGTTGCCAAACAAGAGCCACGAATTTGTAGAGTGAGCCAATTAGAACATGGGAAGATGCTGAAGAAATGGCTGCCCACACATGCAAATGGGAACATGAACACGGTCTTGAGGTTTGTGCAAACAGTGACCCTCACAAGGAACTGTTTCAACATGTTCTCTTCACTTGTCCATTGTGAGTGGAAGGAAGCCTATGGCTGTTGCATACCTTCGGAATTTGAAACGACAGTCTAGAGCAAGAGACCTAAGTGATAAGAGTTCACTATTGGTCTAAAGGATGCTAAGAATATCCCCCAATGGAAGAATATCTCTGAGGGTCAGAGTCTGCAAAATGCCATAATATTTGCTACATCTGTGTAGCAGAGTTCACTTGACCATGGCATTTAATTTCATCCCTTTCACCATGCAACATAAAGGGTAGAAGATAACTACTTCACTAACTTGCATTAAATAGGAATTCTCATGATAAGAATTGGCTGAGGAGAATAGACTTGAGCAAAGTAGATGGGCAGGCCAAATTTTTCACTAGTCAAGTAAAGCAGAATGATTACTGGCCTGTGACTTAGTCTGAGAAACCTGTTGGTAGGAGGATGGCATGACCATAATGGGCAGCAAAGATGAGAAGGCCTACTTATGAAGCATTCTGGTAGTAAGTGAACATACTGTCCACCTTGAATTTTGGGCACAATGCTTGGGTGTGCCTCAACCCAACCCTAGATCCACCCTAACTCATACCCTGTTCTAACAATCTCAGCTAAATCAGAGGATCCATGAAATAGCGCCTTTTATGGAGGGGAGGTGTGACTGAACCCCAGTGTTGCAGAGCACTGCTGTCTGACCCTCCTGGCGGCTGGTGACCTTAAGCATAATGGGATAGGAAGATCATAAATTCCTGTCCCTCATCTTCTGCTTCTCTCTTTGTATTTTTCTCTTTCTTACTCATATTAATGCCCTTAGAGCAGTGGTGTTCAGTGGCTGGCACTATTATCTGCTGGGTCAAGCCCCAGACTTGCAGTGCTGGCACCTCTCACAGGCAGCGTTTCAAGCCCGGTTGCTTCCTTCTGACCCAGCTCCTTATGAACATGCCTGGGACAGCAGCAAGACAACTCAAGTGCCTGAGATCCTGCACCCACATGTGAGACCTGAAACAAGCTTCTGGCTCCTGGCTTGGATCTGCCCAGTTCCAGCTGTTGTACTCATTAGGGGAGCGAAACATTTCTGTTTCTTCTTCTTTTCTGGTAAAACTGGTTTTCCAGTCAATGAAGCTAGAAAAGAAGGAAAGAGGAAGGAAGGAAGGAAGGAGGAAGGAAGAAAGGAAGGAAGAAGGAAGGAAGGAAGAAGGAAGGAAGGAAAGAAGGAAAGAAGGAAGGAAGGAAGGAAGGGAGGGAGGGAGGGAGGAAGGAAGGAAGAAGGAAGGAAGGAAGGAAGGAAGGAAGGAAGGAAGGAAGGAAGGAAGGAAGGAAGGAAGACACTTAATGGAGATTCTGCAATGCAGGCATTGTTCTCTGTTTCTTTCTGTCCAGTGTGGTGGCTGCTTACCTGTGTGAGTGTTGAGCATTTTCATTATGACTGAAAATAGAATTTTTACTTTTTAAAAAACAATTTACTTTTTTATTATTATCATTTTATGATATAGTTCCACAGGCCCTGGAATGTTCTTTATCCCCTCCCCAATTACTTTTATTTGGTTGAGGTTAATTGAAACTTACTAACACACATTGACAGTGCAGAGGAATTAAAAATAATTGCTTTTATTATATTCTTGTTCCAAGCCTAACCTACTACTATGTTTATAAAACTCGATTCCTTTTAATTAAATATAACCTATGTCTTTTCTTATCTTGGGGAAATCTACCTCTGCTTCAGATTCCAGTTATCACTTTCAATTCCCTTTTTTTTATGTCAATCCTATTATCTGTTGATCTAATAGTCTCTTTTCCTGAGTGCTTGATTGTTTTACCTAATGCCAGTGAGTCAAGATATTTTAAAACATAGGCAACATAAAGCCCATTAATTTTAATATTCAATTTTTTCCTCAGTTTTTTTTCTAGGTGCTTTAGCAGTAATATAACCTTTTTGTTTTGTTGTGTTTTATTTACAGTAATGTAACCTTGTATCACAGTTCTGCACGACCATGTTGTGTCAGTTGCTTCTGCAGTGGTGTCAATGCACCCAATTTCTGCTCTGAACATTAGTTAGTGTGTGTATTTTCTTATGCATATCAATAGTACTCATTTCATGAGAATTTTATGAAATTTGGGGTAATTTTCCTGTCTGGAATTTCCCTACTGAGCTGACCACGTTTTCCATATAAATCAAAATTCTTGGGAGATAATTTTTCTTTCCTGATGATATAATCTTAAAGTCTGCATTTCTATATTTGTTCTCAGTTTGAATCCTGAAAAAAAAAAAACAGAATAATCAACATTTTTGGACTAAAGTGAAAGATTTTTAGTGACTTAGAATTTCTTAATCCTAATTATAGTAGCCATTTGGTTCATATTTTTTTAGCTTACACCAATATCATGGATTCATATATTTCAGAGAAATCCTTCAAAGCATGTTTTTGTGTTATTTTAAGTTTCTCCAATAAGCCCTATAAATTACTGTAAATAAGTGAAACATAAAAATAATTCTAAAAAATGATAAACTGAAACAAACAAGTTAAGGATAACATGAACAGATCATTCTGTAATCACTTCTAGGTTAATTTTTTTTAACAGTGATTGTATCCCAGGCTTATTTACAGATTTAAAATCAGAATATTTCTTGATGCGTCAACATCACATGGAGAAATGTCTAGGATGTGAGGGCTGTTGCGTTACATTAAAAGATGTTTAATATATAATGATCAAATGCAACTTTAAGGTTTTTACTTATTTGAAAGACAGAGTGACAGAGAAAGAGAGAGATGGACAGTCAGATGGATCTTTGCAGGCTCACTCCCTAAATATCCACCTCAGTAGGGACTTGACCAGCTGAAACCAGAAGCCAGGAACTCTGTGGTCTGCTACCTGTGGGAATGCAGGTGCTTTTGAGCCATGGTGGCTACCTCAAATGTGTGTTACCAGGAATCCCCTATCTGGGATTCAACTAGGCATTCAAAAATGGGATGAAGAGGTCTCAAGTGAGGCTTGACCCATGGGAGCGCAATTTCCACTTCTCAAAAGCAATGCGTAATTGTAATGTGAAGTCTGGTTTGAGCCAAAAACAGCTTTAAAAGTAATTTTGAATATATTGGGGAAATCTCAATAGGAGCTGTTTGGAAATTGTTATAAACTTGATTAGGCTTTGTAGTATCATGTCTTCATCTTTACAGATAATGTGATCCTTTACAGAGGGATAAAATCCCACCATGATGAGAATTCTCTTTCTGATGCTACAACAATAAGACAAAGTAAACATGGCAAAATGTTAACTATTAAATATCAACGATAGCATATTTAGAATGTTCTGGTTTTCTTTCTGCTTGTTTGATAATCTTCATAATAAAAGCCAAAATAATGGATTAGATATTAGAAATTGTGAACATGAGCCAAACTATGAACATTGCCTGCTCTTGTTTGTAATTGGAACAGAGCCGAATTCACCTGTGTGGCTGCTTCCGCTGTATTCCAGTGGCGCTAAGAGGCTAGGATCTGAAGAGCTTAAATAACTACTTTGCAGGCTTCTAGCAGGAAAAGTTGGCCAACACTTACACTTGACAAATAGATTACAGATTGTAATACAAAATATGACTCATTACTAAATGAGTTGACTTGAGGAGAATTTACAAGATTAAATTCAGAAAATTATGAACAGAAATTAGGTTGATTGAAAGTATCAATAAAATTCATTAATCACTGAGGGGAATATATCTTTAGGATAAAATATTGATTTTGGTTTCTATGTTCAGAAAGACTTGGGTGTGTTGATCACAGTCATTCACAGCCTGACTCTTCCTCCTTTCTTTAAAATCAAACATAAATAAAACCCTAGTTTAATTTTCTCTAGTAATTCTATCAAGACAGTTCTAGGACACTGTATTTTTATAAACTTTCTGTGTAAAAGCTTTGTATGATTTTTATGATTATGAGTAAGTCCAAGAT